ATCCATGTTGCAAGTATCAAGAAGAAAAGAATCGACGACGTTTAGCCACTTTACCTGTATTAAGTGATCTTACTTCGGCCTCACCAGTAGTCCTTGTCCATAAAGATAATAGAAGAAAAATATTATTGCATAGTACAGTATCTCTAACTGCTGCAGCTGTATGCTTATGGAGATTGTATAATACATTTAAGTAGTGATGTAACTATATTAGCATTATTAATATGCTTAAAATAGGTTACAAATGTTCTCAAAATATGAATTGTTGAAGACTATTTTACTAACATCTTATTAGGGCTTACTTATATGTTGGTTTTGTAGATATCAAGTTACTGTAATTAGTTGTTGTAGGAAAACAGTCTTATGTAAAAATTGTTAAACATTATATATTTTAATATTGATACTAGAACTAGTTAAACAAACCTGTACAAACAATGTTTTCTTTATCCTGTAAGCTTTTTAGTTATGTATGATAGCAGTTTATTGGGAGTTGCAGATCACTGTTGTCGTATTAATTAAAATAAAAAACCTTGAAAATGTATATATTTATCAATAATATATTACATTATGAACCACATAAATTAAGTCACACAAAGGGTATATTTAAATAAATTCAGTGTTATTAGAGATGAAATAGATTTTTAGGCATCTTGTGATACAATGCACACAGAAGGTAAAATAATTCTAATGTATTTGATTGGAAGTTTGTATGACTTGTTAATGAAAGTCATTTGTTTATTTGCTCAATCACTTATTTGATTTATGAATAATTATTTTTAATTTTATTAAATGTCGATATTTTACTAGTCAATTTTGTATTATTTGCCCAACAAATTACCTTCAGATATTTATATCCGGCCATGGTACATGGTATGGTGTACAGAGTTACAGGACATCTGTTTCATCTCTAATTATTTTCATAAATATTGAAGCCACGACATGTTACGATGACACATTCATAACAGAAAACAATACAAGGGGCAATATATTACTTGTAAATCTCATACAGGCTCAATCAATTCCTCTAATATTTTTTATTGTTAGCAGGATTCAACTTTAAATTAGTTTTAACAAATCAATACGTTGTAAAATTCGAATAAAATGTTAATTGATACCTATTTTTTTAGAGTAAACGGTTTTCTCGGGGTGATAGTTTGGCGGGTGTGGTGGTGGTACGAAACCGAAATGGGTCAAATCTACATACCAATAAAAAACAGTAGTTCTTACTTATTAAACTTAACTGAAAAAGTTTATTATACCTTTAAGGCGCTTTGCAGACGACGGGGCGGGGCGGGCCGGTCAATTTCGCCGCGAATAATAGCACTAAGTGAATCCTATACTTCAAACGCACACAGCGGTCAAAAAGACCGTGCTTTGGGTGCCCGGCGGGCACTGGCGGCGCGGCATGTCCGCGGCTGCCCGATGTGGATCTTACAAACCAGTTTATATGCAGTAACGCAGACGGCGGCGCAGGGCGGTCATGGACTATTCACTAGAACGAACGTCCTAAACTGACCGCCTCTGCCCGTCGTGTGCTTTGTGTACGCGGCGCGGGCAGCCGCAGACATCGACGGGCAGACGCGGTCGTTATTGCTTCGCGGACAAAATGCCCGCCCCGCCCCGTCGTCTGCTCAACGCCTAAAGCGTATACGACAGTATCATATATCATAGGCTAATTAGGCAGATACCACAATCCCGGACAAGCGATCAAAGCCGATTTAATACAGATCGTATTAAAGAAGCTATCGAGCGCAACTAAGGCTCCAAAGTGTTCCCGAGATATCTGTTTACTGGATAAAGCCAACTGACGAAGCTGAAGACTGAGACGGTAGCATCATTTCGTCGTAAATCGAAAACCTGAGAGATTGAGTGTTTCAATGGATATCTATTCCACGCAAGCACCTGTTGAAAGCAAGGCTAGTAAGCTTGGCTCTGGGGTAGATATCCCGGACGTCAGCCTGTATGAAATTAGTATGGCTCTCAAACAACTTAATTAACAAGGCGGCGGGCGGTAATTGAATAAATATATATTTCCAACACACCAATTAGCCTAGCCCCAAAGTAAGCACTCTGTAGGCTTGTGTTATGGGATCACAGCAGTACTTCTGAGAGTACTTATATCGGGTATAATATAGGTAAGCCGATACTCAAAAAAGCTTCTGGAGCTTTTAAATTCCATCATCCTCGAAGGGATTACGCTGAAAGCATGGCGCAGAGGTATGGTTGTCCTGTCGCACGCAGGCTTGACGACTTCCTACCTCCCAAAGAAGCCGGTTTCCGAAAAGACTTGCATTTAGCTTGTCGTTTTTAGTCTATGAGAAAGCCTTCGCGATACGATTGAGACCGGCGTTGTTACAGTCTATCCAAAGGTGCCAAGTAGATTATATGTCGAGGTACCTTTACGAAAACGCCACTATGTCAGTCCGATTACAGAACCAGAGCTCTACCTAATCCTATCCAGCTGTAGCGAGACGTGAGACAGGGAGATTTAATGTAATATCTCCGAAACTCTTCGCAGCTGCCTTGGGAGGATATTATATTTTTAAGCTTCCCAATTGGAACGGACGAGGCATCAACATTAATGGCGAGTACCTTTCGCACCTTCGTTTCGCCGATGATGGAGTACTTATTGCTGAGACCTTGGAAGATCTTAACACGATGCTCGAAGACCTTAGTAGTGCTTCCCAAACAGTTGGTCTTAAGATGAACATGAATAAGACGAAAATTATGTCGAATATCCATGTAAAATTTTGAACACATCACTCGAAGTTTACACACACATTACGTTTACATGAGACAGACAGTCCATTTGGGCAAGTTCTACTTTGCGAAAGAGATCTTTTGTCGTATCCAGCTCGGTTGGGCAGCTTTCGGGAAGCTACGGAAAATCTTCGCGTCCAAATTACCTGTCTCAAGACAAGCCTTTGACCAGTGTGAGTTTTTCCAGTGCTGACCTACGGAAGCAAAACGATAGTCCTTCACTGCGGGTCTCATAACAAGGCTAAAGGTCACGTTTATTCTCATTTGTTCGATCGTCGAACTACTGAGATTTTATTGTTCTCATTTGTCCGACCGTCGTCGAAATTATTTTCTTTATTTATCCATTTTCCTTACCAGAACCTCTCTCTTAGTTATGTATGGTCTCCTGGTACTTTTTTCAAAATAGTGATTTTATAAATGTTTATGGATGCAATATTGAGGGGATATACTCCCGTATTATAGAGAGATTATTTAAACTTTTATTGTTTTTTTATTTCTTCATGGCGATGCACACCTTCAGTCAGTCCGTCTCAAGGATTTACAATACCTGGAATGCTGACCTGACACTCAAAAGCGTTCCGAAGAGTAAACCTCAATTAGTGGAAGCTGTCTCTTTCTAGTAGTGTCCAAACTATAGATGTAAAACAACCGATTTAAAACGTTTTAAACCAAATGTTGCCGTTTTAAACCCCAAATAAATCGTTTTAAACGGTTGAAAACTGGCATACAAAAATAAAAGAACTATGTTTTTTACACATGGTCATTTTTTTTTTAATTTTGTACTAGTTCTTTATTTACAGTCATCTTAAATAACAAACCCCTATGATAAAAATACAAAAACTACATGCGAACGTACCTACAATCAGGGGGTCACTTTTAAAAGCACATTTTGACATATACAACAAGATACATAGAGATGTTAACTGTTAAAATGGGCTTGTGACCTGACTGTACATGATGTAGTTATTGTCAGCAGACTCCATCCATGCCCCAACCTACCCCCTGTTGTATTCGCGCGTGTGTGCGTGCGCGGCGCGGGCGGCCGGCAGTTTATGTATGTGCATGTGTGTGTAGGGTAGGCGAGCTGGACACGTTTGCGTCGAGTAACTACGAGTGACGTCAACGAGAGTGCGAGAGTGTGAGTTTGGTTTTGAACCGAATCAAATTGATTGAGTTGATTTATATCGTTTGAAAACATTTTTTTTCTTATTTACTAAAGTTTTAACTTATGATAAGAGTTTTTATAATTTAGGTACAAACTACAAGAACTAAACTCGCTAAGTATATCAATATTAGTAAGTATTACCACACATTTAAAAAATCTTTATACAGTTTTTAAGTACTCCGTTATATTCCTACCTCGGTAAAATCAAAACAATGTAGTTATAATTAAGAAAAACATAGTCATCAATACCAACCGTTTTAAATCGAAAAAATGGTTTATTTCGGTTTTAAACGGTTTTTTTCGTTTTAAACGGATTGGTTTAATTGGTTTTAAACCGGCATTACATCTATAGTCCAAACAGTAACATAAGTGATGAGATAATTCTTTTTCTCTGAATAAAGTGACCTAATTTTTAATTCTTTATCCTTAGCTTAAAGTCCAAAAAAATAATAACATCTTTAAACGACCTTCCGAGCTTATTAATAAACATTTATAAAATCGTACCGTGTATGAAAGTACCAGGAGACCATGAATAACTAAGAGGTTCTGGTAAGGAAAATGGATAAATAAAGAAAATAATTTCGACGACGGTCGGAAAAATGAGAATAATAAAATCTCAGTAGGTCGACGATCGAACTAATGAGGAAAAAAAATCTCACTAATTCGACAATCGAACAAATAAGAATAAAGGGAAATCGTTGCTCAGCACAGCGTGCTGATATGACGACTACCTTTAAAAAATCCTGATATCGTTTCGGTGCCATACAAATAAATAGATCTGAGTTACCCTTGCGATTTACTGCTTGGGTTGACAAAGCACTGATTCATAATGTTAATTTAACTTTTAATGTAGATAATTACTTTTAAGTGGTTTTGTTTTTATGAAGACAGTTTTTATTTTTTGTTAAAAAAAATATATGCCAAAGCGACATCAACTTACTTAAAATAGATGTCAGACCTGCGTTATTTCTTTCATATTTCGTAAAATATCCAGACACGATATGTATTGTGCACTGTTCGTATTTGAGGACTTCCGTTGTTTCACGGAAGTTAGGGGTAAGTAAGTAAACAAACTAAGGGGGTTTGTAAAAAAACTAATTTAATAAAAAAATCAATTAAATACAATAATTTAATAAATAATAAATACAATATGTTCCATAAATAATATGTTCTATAAACTTAACACATACAGTGTTACTCTCATGAAATTCTAAATGCACATTTCTTCCAGTGACTAGGCAGTAAATAAGCTTATGGAATATTTTCACAGTACTTAACGGATAACTTCTGCAGCGTTACCATCCTTTTTGCTTATTTGCCAGTGCAACAGCTGGCATTCAAAAGAATAAGAAATTAAAAAAAAAAGTAAAAGAATCAAATTAAAATAATGCGTTTGCTTTATAAAAATACCGCGAATCCAGTTTTTCATTTTCAGTTATATTAAATCTTGGAAGACGTTCTCTGCAGCCGAAGAGCGTTATATTGTGGAGGCGCCGGTTACGTGACGTGACGACAACCTCGGGTTGCACTCCGGGATGCGGATTGGGTTGTGCATTTTTGATATTTTGGAATGGTTAGAGAATAATTTTGCACGAATTGCTTTAACTATCAGTATAAAAGTACTATCATTTAAGATAAAAACTCTTTATTGCACAAACAGTAACAAAATAAGCAGATACAAAACAAGTAGAAAAATACAACATTGCACAAAGGGCGGTCTTATCGCTAATGAGCGATTCTTTCAGACAACCCAATGAGCTGGAATCATTTATGTGGTAGAATACAATATTTATTTATTGCGCTATCGTACACAAACATGACAATTTATATTACATTGAAAAGTTTATTCTCAGAAAAATCAACTTACATGAATCACATTTAAGCGAACCTAGCGACATCTATTGTAAAAAAAATGCATTTTCTTCGCAATAAAGTTGCCACCTTGAAGACCTAATTAGAGACTTATTATTATAATACGATAAAATAAAATATTACTATGTTTCGTCCAATATATTGAAAGTCAACAACCTTTCCAATTTTATTGTTTTCGTCTTACGAATTTTCGATGAGGTCACGTGGACACGTGACCTAACCAGGACGTCAGGACTGACGTGATAAGGCCACGTGTCCTGAGGCAAGTTTAACAGTTTTTACCCATGATAAAAAAAAGTGTACAACGCCGTTAAAGAAGTTTTCACTTCAAAAAGTATATAAAAAGGAAGTTTTCACATCAAATCGTATATAAAAGCCATATTTAAATGGCCCTGCTTTATCATTTTACTACAAAATAGTTCATGCGAGAATTTTCAGATGCTGAAACAGAAAATCCGCGATGAATTCCATCCCATCTTCTACGAACCCAGTAGCAATTGTTTTTATACGGCTGCAAGGTCCGACGGACGACCCAGACTTACTTTTACGACTTAGACAATCTGGCCACTAGCTGGAAACTTGACAATTTGGCCACTAGCTGGAGACTTCATTGAAATTAAATGTTTTATCCTGATTATTTTTAAGGTCGGAGAATTACCAAACCAAGAGACGTCTAGGATCACAAATATACGCAAACAAACAACAGTTAAAGGAAGTGGTTAAGCAGTCCAAAGAAATGTACGAGAAGGGAGACACTGTGACTGAAATATCCTCCCAATTAAAATTGTCCCATATAACCCCATCACGTTTTAATGCACAGTTTAGTCAAGGATCGACAACAAACATTATCAAATCGTTTTCCCCGTCCTATTAGTTCTCCTTATTCCCTCCTAGAAACCCTCGAAAAAACACTTCCTGTACACATAATACCCAGCGCCTCTATCATATAACGCTCTCCAGCTCTGCACAAAACGTCCTCGAACAAAACGTCCTCGAACAGTCAATATAACTAAAAATGAAACCATGTATTCTCGATATTTTTCTGTATTTTCTTCTCTGAACTACTACAACATGGACATGTTGTACATTCTAAGCCTGTTCCTAGAATGCCGACTTTCTGATTTAGACCAAAAGCATTGGCACTAGAAATAAATAACCAAAAGAATGGTAAACTGATGGCGTTACACCCTTCGTACAATTTTATTTATTCACTAGTCTTAACTTACTACTACTTCGCTCTTACATTACTAACCCCATTAATTGCAAAGGTATTGCTACCCTCCCTAGAAACCTCTCTGCCGACCTTAAAATTCAAGTGTTGGAAACTAATTTCTAATGAATGTAAGTCAACTGGACTCATCCCTCCAGGAAAAATCCCTAGCTACGCCTACATTTAAATCTATATAATTAAGTAGGTCCTTCCATACAGCACTAGTTAGTTCAGCCTTGAATATTCTCTTATTTTTTATCTTTACGACGTTAGACATAGATTTCAGAATCTTATATGATATATTGAACTTCAGAAAGCTTAGTTTATGACGGCGCGGTCCTACTTTAATCGCAAGATGGTAAATTAAGAAAACAAATATGCAAATTACCGCCACCATTAATCGCACAACATCCACCACCACTCGGATCGAAGCTGCTGATCAGCTTTGGTTATGTACTTGCATTTGGTCAAAGCTCGATAACAGGCCAGGTGACATGAAAGGCAGGGACGATCCGTTTATTAGTTTGAAAGTATATATGTCTCGCTTTATATAAACATTAGGCGCCGATTCTTAAGACATATATTCTTAATTTTGTAATTTTGTATTCATAGCCCTTTTCCCCATAAACCAGAAATAAACATATGGTGTAAAGTGTCTCAAGAATATGGCGAGATTGGGTATGAATTGACTGACTATTAATTCGTTCTCTTTGTTAACTATTGAGTTCAGCATTCTTTCAGCAAGATATTCCGCAGTGAATCCAGAAGCAGTGCTCTTATCCATCACTGAAAAGATTTAATGTGATTTTTAAAATGTAAAGATTAATATTCTTACTTTTAAATTGTAATGGGCCTTATTAACTGTACAGTTAATTCAACGATAATAAAAACCCTAGATATACCACGAGCGCTCTAAATGTATCCCAATCAAAAAGTGCTTGAACGCCACTCAAGCACTTCTTGGTTCACAGTCACGCACGGATTGAAAGTCAACATGCTATAGAGCTACGTGCCCAAATGCGAAACACATACTATAGTGCGCAAAGTGCCGTTTTTTCGGCTGGTATCAAAGCAATGTTTGTCAATTTAATGCATTTGATGCAAATTTTGTTCTAATTCTTACTAACTGATTTATATTATATAAGTTCTCTTTCCTTCGCGCTTCGTTCCTAATATATTGCTAACAGCACATTCAGAATTACGTTTAGAACAGTCGTAATATAATATCTATATTCGCCGCCTATAGCGACAAGTCATAATTCTTTACGAGCTTGAATTTCTGACTGTCAGAACTCTTTGACGTATCGAACTGTCAGAGCTCTGTGACGTATGCGTTCAAATTAAGACCATGAAGACTACACATTAATGGTGACTTTAAATGTTTAAATAATGTTATATATTGTTTTTGACTATGCGACCATCTCACGGAGCTCCGTGGATCATCCAATATACTTTCTGGACAGGTTTCGGCCACGATTTTGGTCGTGATGTTATTTATATCTAGGGTTTTTAATATCGTTATATTAATCAATCAACCCTCACCTCCATGCGAACCACCAGATTCATTAAGAGCATTTAGCGAAACGGCAGTTTTAATATATCCTGGACTAACAACTGTCACATTGATTTGATGTTGCTTCATTTCTGCACGTAAGGAATCGCCGAACGCTTGCATAGCATGTTTAGATGCTGCATATGCGGCACGGTCTGGTATGGCAATAAGACCTTGTACAGAGCTAACAAAAACAATGTGCCCACTCTTCCTTTCAACCATTTTTGGCAATACAGCTGAAACAAAACATAACAATTTTGAGATGTTAAATAGGAGATGAATTTATAGAGAAAATCGATCATACCACTATAAATGAAACAACGCGACCTTAGTCGTTTTTTCAAAGGATTTAAACAATTATCTTAATATTATTTATATTTAAAATGAAGAAAATTATATTATTTATATTTAAAATGAAGAAAATTATATTATTTATACCTTTAGTCAGTCCAACAGATCCAAAATAATTGATAAACATGATTTGCTTAAACACCTCCATTTTGGAGTGTAATATAGAACCACGGTGGGATACCCCACCATTGTTTATCAGAATATCTATGTTCCCACAAAGTTCATAAACCTTTTGCACAAAGTTATCTATTGTGTCTAGATCCGCAAGATCTAAAACCAGAATTACTGGTTCATGTGTTTTTATAGGCTGAAATCAAATTGAATATTTGTATTTTTTTAATTACATTTCGGAACTGGAAGGAATTAGGTAAATGTCAAAGAAAACAGTGTATCTTTTTGTGGAGTCGCAGAATAGGTTTTAATATGACCCTGCCGGGACATATTAAAAACTAATTTATTTACGTTGTCTGAATCTTTGTACACTTCCGGACACATCTATCAGTCCACTTCGCATTTACTTTTTGGCGGTCCCCAGCTAAAAATAAATAAATAAATATTTCCAACACACACCAATTAGCCTAGCCCCAAAGTAAGCACTTTTTGGCTTGTGTCAAGGGATACTAGGCTAACAGATAGAATACATATAATGTACATATATAAGTTTATTTATATAGAAACTAGTTATCCCAGCGAACTTCGTACCGCCGTAAATTTTATTTATTAGATACATAATTTATACATCCATTACTGAACTACAAATGCTCGTATTCATCACACAAACATCTTCCCCCACCGGGATTCGATCCCGGGACTCCTCAGGTAGGCGACACCTTATTGAAACCCGGCGTACATACCACTCGGCCATGGAGGTCGTCAAATAATGTTACATTGAGCAAAAAGGTATTACCTACTCAATTTTGAACCTGACTTATTATATCTTTTTGTTTCTTCGTGTTTTCAAATTATAGCTCAACCATAAAATTATATTTTTGCTACAGTCCGTTGAATCTTATAACACTAATTGAGCCGATAGATGTTTCCCGAAGTATATTTTTGACGTGACAACGTCTTAAATTAGGTTGCGGCTGGGAGTCACTTATGAAAAAGTGTAACGCTCGGTAACGTTACGATGAGTTTAAGTTTACATGTACAATGTTTTAGTAAACAAAATATATTTCTATAGTTAAAATTTGTGCAATTCTTATTTTCATTCAATTCCTTGTTCCTATTGTGCAATTTAATTATATTCATATCAATAAATATTCTACCGAGAAAAAGACGTTGTCACGTAAAATCTTCGCCCGTAAAACCGACTTTACAGGCAACCATTTTTTATGATTAGTTTTATAATGCGGTTTGATGGTGCAACCAGAACTGACAACCGCCCACGTCAGGTAAGTAAGCCCCCCATTTTTGAAATTGTATTATTATCCAGGTTGTTCTGGATTGTTCTATGTTTGTTCTACATGGTTCCACTGTTTTATTAAAAAAAGCAAAAAAACGTTTTTTATGGTAGCCCTCCACTTTAGGAAATTCAATATTTTGTTGGTTGTTCCAAGTTGTTATAGTTGTTCTTATCCTTGTTCCAGAGTCTTATTAGAAAAAACAAAAATTTGAAACCACTAGGTAGAAAAACTTATTGGTAGCCCCCCATTTTTGAAAATTCAATGTTTTCTTAGTTGTTCCTAGTTTTTCCTAACATTGTTCCAAAGTTTTATTTGAAAAAACTTAAATTTGAAGCTGTCAGGCAAAGAAACTTTTTTATAAAAATAATCTCAGTAGAAACAATTAATAAATCAACCATCAAATATATAGTTCTAATTTCATTTAATCATTTTGAATAAAATTAATAGTTATCGGACAAGTAAACATTTACACTATAGGGTAAACTACCCAATAGTTGGTACTTTAAGAGTAGGTTCCATCTAAACGTGCTAGTACACAACACATGTAACAGTATCAAAGAAAATGCATAGTTTAATCTTTGTTTTCATAACTATTTGTATGTCATTGAATGGTATTAAATAGATATTTTATACTTTAAACCAATAGGCTACAGAAAATCCTATGTCGGCACAAAAAATCTCAGTATTGCATCTATTCGTCTAATTATTGACATTAGTTGAAAGCAAAGGGGATAGGAATGGTATATCAGGACAAATAACTTTTCTTTGGCTGACAGCTTAAAATTTTAGTTTTTTCAAATAATACTTTGGAACAATGATAGGAACAAATAGCTAGAACAACTTTCAAAAATGGAGGGCTACTCAAAAAAGTTTCTTTTGCCTAGTGGCTTCAAATATTTCATTTTTAGAAATGAAACTCTAGAACAATGTTAGGAACAACAAGAACAACTCGGAACAACCTAGATAATTAGTGTTGTTCAAATTCGGTCTTGGTCTTGTTCTTGCTTTTTCTCCAAGACCAAGACTAACCATGCAAGATTTGAGCAAGAGCAAGATCAAGCCTGCGAGACTCTTGCGTCTTACAGTTAGGACTAAGTGTCGTTTCAGGGAGTATATGAGTTCGGGTATACGCTAAGGGAATTTGTGAGATGCAAAAAATATATAAAATAAATGTAGAAATAGTAGACTTAAGGACCCTATCACATCTTGACTGTGAATTTTGCGTAAAATGACAAGTTTTGGCGTTCTTGATCTCAGAAACCAAAATACATTAATAATTTTGACTTATTGAATGCTGCAGGTAACTATAGGAATATTTCGTAGCAGCCTCGCTTTTAAATTTTGCTTAACTTTTTTTTTAACTCAAAATTGCACAGATCTATTTTAATAAAATGGGCGAAGGATTTTAGAGCTCATGGATCATGAGCACTCTTCTTAATAAATGAAGTGAAAAAAAATTGAATATTATCTCTTAATTTATTCAAATAGTTCGTAACGGCCTCAGCAATTTTAAAATATAATTGAATAAAATGTAGAAATATAATCTTTTTCTTAACCCAAAAACCACGAAAATTGCTCTAATTTAACAATAACTTGTATTTTTTTCTATCTATTATTGAAAAAGGATTTATAATTTTTACTAACTACACCACGTTAGCCTGAAGGGATGTGATTTTTCCAGTATAAAAAGTAGCCTATTAGTCCAGTCACTTTAGGGTTTCGCCTCGGAATTTGAGATAATAAGCTGGAAACTCGTGTACATTTTGGCGGTCTAAAAGTTGTCGCAAAAGTCTCATATTATCTCGTGTCTGCGTCGTAAGTTATTCGAGGTCAAAGATCACGAAAATCAGTTTTTTGCAATTCTCTCCGTTTCTATGGTTCCAATCAGTTCACCACCTATTATAAAAATTTAAGATAAAAAATATTGCCACAACTTTTGTCTCAATTTATTTTCTATGCGCTCAACTACCCTACCCTACCCTTTTCGAGATAGAGGGCGGGGAACACTTTTTTGAGATTTTAAGCAATACAGCATTAATCCATATCCAATTAAGTACATTAAATACATTGTGCATTTAATATAGATGAATAAGGTACCTTTAAAGCGTGTAATTTAAACTTTCATGCGAGTATTTTCGAAGATATTATAGATTTAAAATGCAGGGGCATAGCATTTGCGGCTGTATAATGCGATTCAACTAACAATAGGACCGACTGGGCGCCATATTGTGACGTCATAGCTGTCAATTCAAAAAGCTGTCAAGGTAGAGTGAGCAAAAAAAATTTATTTAATAAAACTTATTTACTAAGATTAAGTGAGAAAATACATCAGATTTTATAGTAAAATTTATTTACTAAGATTGAGAAAAAAAAACAACAGAAAAAACATTAATAAGAAAATAGCTCTTCAATTCCGCTCATCTCTGCATTACCGCCGGAGTAGTTATGAATAATCATGCACTATTACTAGGTCACATACAAACATGCATCCTTTATAAAATCGAAATCCTAAAAACGAAAGTTTTAAATTGAGTTTCTAACCGCAATTTGGCTGACGATTTAGGTTATCAACAATTCATATCCAAAGCTCAATAAATAAATAAAAATATTAACCAATATTAATTTTATATATTTGTTATTGTTTGTTTACAAATGTTTGGTTTTTATTCTAGAATTAGCTGAGTGCCAAAAAAAGGTTTCCAAGATTTTTTTGCAAACCGTACTTTTAAAGCTACATTTGACAGATGGAGGTCATTGGCTTTCCTATTCTTATTTGAATCGCACTATACCGGCCGGAGGGGACGGCGGCGCGTATCTTTTTTGTATCAGCATTGCACCCGTGCGAAGCCGGGGCGGGTCGCTAGTGTAAGTATAATTTAATATTTACCAGCTTTTTTGATTGCAGATCTTGCTTTACCCTTTCCAGCTCATTTAAACGCCGTGCTGCTAAAACCACTTTACTTCCTTGATCATAAAAAGCATGTGCTAAAGCTTCTCCTATACCAGAACTTGCTCCAGTAATGAGAACAACCTGTAACGTGAAACAGTGTACGCTTTTAATAGTCGTTTAACGAGATTTTAATATTTTTTTTACGTTACAAAATTTACAAATTACACACACCCTCACCACCTCTGAAACGGAGGATTTCTGGGATAAAAACATATATCATCTGCCCTTTCCCGGGACTCAAACTATACCAATAACAAACACCTAAATCAGTTCAGTTGTTTAAGCGTAGAGGTAAGTAAGATAAACTAACGCAACTCTTCAGGTTCTCCTACTCTTGACGCGTCGTTCCAAGCTCATGGAAAACAGTTTTAGTAAATCCAATTCCAAAAAAAGGTAAATTTAAAAAATCAAAAAACCCGACTGCTTAATTATACTTCAAATAAAAACTGAAAAGAAAAAAACAAGTCCAGTAGTCTATAATTCTGTTAATAAGGAACAAAGCTACTTTAACAGTCGGGACCCATTAGATATTCAAGAATACATAATATTTTTCAACAGTGGGTCCCGACTGCTAAAGTAGCTTTGTTCCTTATTAACAGAATTATAGACTACTGGACTTGTTTTTTTCTTTTCAGTTTTTATTTGAAGTATAATTAAGCAGTCGGGTTTTTTGATTTTTTAAATTTACCTTTTTTTTTCACACTCTTTAGTTAGTTAGTATTTTAAGACGGTATATACCGTAGTCTTGTTACTTCAGTAAGGGAATTAATATCGCGGGAATTATTAAGTACCTTGCGTCGGTCTAAAAGATTGATTTATTAAGACATATAGAGACTTTACCAGCGGAGTCAAGGCTACAGATGGGCCTCAATTTTCGCAAAAATGTGTGAAGTTAAATCAAGTCGTTACATAAATTTTATAGTAAACTAGAACTTACTCAAAAAGTCATCTTTTGTTTATGTTTTTTTTAATAGTTTCGCAGTAAATATAAAATTCATTTACTTTTATTCGTCGACTATTTAAAATTGGCAGCGGCTGCATTGTCATGTCAATGCCGGACGTCTAAGATTGTGATATACACACATGCAGTGTCAGTGCCTAGTCTCATAATTTGATATACCTATATAATTCACAGAAACCCAATATGTAGATGCCAGAAGTTAACTTCAAATGTTTTTAATCACCCTATACACAATACCAATCAATGACGTTTATGTCGCAGGTTGAAGAAAGCAGTAATTCCCGTTTGTTGTTTTGGACAATGGTGGCAACTGCCTTAGATCACTAAATTAAATAATTATGCAATCACCAAAGCAAAGTTTATAATATTTGAATAAACTAAAGGCGCATAATAAAATTTTCATAACGTTAGATAGAGCACCATAGCAATCTCATTTAATCAATTTATAGTTCTCTTTGTAGTTTTCTTTTAAAGCGTTCACATATAACAGGTCAAAGACTTTGTGATCGACCCTTTTTTATGGGTAGTGTAAACCTCGAATGAAGAGTACTCCCAGTAGGGCAATCATGGCAATTATTTTCCAAATTTTTTTGTTGTTTAAAAAATACCGAATTACGTATCACTGTTAAGCACAAATGCTAAGTAACTTTTACAAATATAATCAAATAAACCTATTACTTACTTTATTTTTAAATCTTTTTCATCAATTAAATATTTATCTTATCCTAACTATCTATACTAATATTATAAAGAGGCAAGATTTGTATGTTTGTAACAAATAATCTGTCAAACTACTGAACCGGTTTCAAATATTAATTCATCATAAGGTAGCTACATTATTTATTATTGCATTTTTCTGTATTTAAATACATTTTGTCCGAGTGACATAGGCTATATTTTATCCCGATAAATAAATTTCGCCCGTACAATGCCCGGGTGGATCACTAGTAAGTATAATATAATATTATAGATGTGAAAGTGAGTTTGTTTGTTGCGCTTCCGTGCCCTAATAGCTAAATCGAATATAATGAATTCCCATATAGAAGTAGATGGGAACTTGGTTCTTAGCTACAACATCGCAATACTTATAGGCGTAGGGTGATGAAAGGGGTGATCTACCTATAAAAATCTACATTATTTACTTTGAATTTTGCAGAATTATTACAAAACCAATATTATCGTGAGCTGATTAATAAATACAGGGATTCCAATAAGTATTTACTTACTAGCGAAAAATGGGTTATTTGTCATTATATTAAGTAAATCTTTTTTGTTAAGTAATATCGTTAAAAAAATGAAAAACAGTAAAATTCTGAGTTTTTCATTAAAATTCAATAATCATAAATACCTATTATGATAATATATCTTTCATCATTTAATAAGAAGGAACTGTCTCACAGCTTTATTGTTAGTACTTCGTATAGGATCAGATACTGCGAATACCCCATTTTTTTTTCTTTTACATAGTACACCGCGCTATCACTTTGTCATCGTTGTAACTTTTTAAATATTTATCGAAATGACATAGGGTACAAAGCAAAGTTTATCGTCTTTAAATATCAAAAGCGATAAAAGTATTTGTTTTGATAAAAAATGATTTGTTAATACAAAATGTGCATTTTGGAAATAGATATCAAATAATATTTTAGTTTTAATTCACTATTTTAGCGGTAATGACTTACACATTAACAATAGATATATGGTGTCACGGACTTTTTTTAGAACTATTTAAGAGATACATTTTCATTCTACATTACATTCATGTAACTTTTATTGTTTTTGCAGTGCAGGCCAAAATGGCTCTCAGATGGGAGATTTTTTTCCGTCTTATGTGACACTTATTGTTATATATTGGCCAATTCACTCAATGGTGCCAATTCTGGCGTGATTCTCTAAACTTAAAACTAAATTTAACATCAGTCTCTCCTTTTCATTCTGTATAGAGAATGACAAGGATATACTGCTGTCAAATTTAAGTTTAGAATTAGAGAATCATGCTAGAATCGACACCATTAACTACATAAATTATTATATATATGTAATTATCATATATGAGCTACATTACTGTTAAGTTTCATTAAAATCCATTCAGTATTTTTTAGGTGAAAGAGTAACAAAGATCCAAACGTAAGATTGAAATTAAAAGCGTAAGTGGTTAATATACAACTTTAAAGCGTTGTAGATCCTAAATAATCATATAAAATGAAAAATGGTGTTAGGAACCTAAATATGATTTTTGATTATCTAGACAGTGATACCCCACTCGACATATTTTGTCAACTTATTTTTTTTACTTCGTCACAATATGGCGCCTAATTTTGCCCATATTGAATTTTGATTACTATCATATCTTTAGTAGCACTCCCATGATTGAGACGAATCGATTGATGTATGAATCATCAAAATCGGTCCAGGCGTTTGATCTCTAGTGTGCCACAAAGGAACAAACATACATATATAGACTGTTAAACACATAACCCTGTCTGCGCGTCGCGCTTCGCGCTCTTGCATTGCGCAGCCGGGTAAAAAGGAGACCACTCACTTCCTGCCAACTACAGGCCTACAGCCATCAAGCTCCTTGTTCTCCAAGATCATGGAATCCATTATTGACTGCCCCAGCTCCTTTGGTACCTAGAGGAACACCAGCCGATCAGTGACCACTAGGGGGCCAATTGCCTAACGGGATTGTTATGGCTATTGCTATCGCTTACAATATCATTTATTTATTTCTGGCAGCTGAAGGTTTTGAAATGCCTCGCAATCGTTTTATTTCTCTTGCATTGGTAATAACATTAAAGAAAATGAGCGTAAGATATTCGAAAACCTTCGGCGGTCAGAAATAACAAAATGAAATTGTAAGCAATAGCGTTAGCCATAGCAAACCCGTTAGGCAATAAACCCCCTGTACGGTTTCCGTAGGAGTCGATCGCCTGGTGATATTCTAGTATATTAGAAGCGATGTGGGGTAATTAGCGGTCAGTCTGAATATCTCAAAGGCCTTTGATCAGGTTAGGCACAAAGCGCTTCTTTCGAAGCTTACTTTTTTTGGCTTCCCGAAAAACTGTGATTTTGATCACAAACTTTCTTGCATCTGCAAGAAGAAGCATCAAGGTTGTAGTTGAACGGTGCAAACACGAACTCCAAATCTGTAAACGCGGGTGTCCAACAAGGCTGCGTGCAATGGCCTATGCTGTTTCTTATGTATATCAAAGATATGCTTCCTATTGATGGCATTCATTGCTATGCAGACGATAGCCTAATAAAATACTGGCCGCGCCAATAACTCACGGGAAAACGAAATCGAGAGCCGGAACAAACTTCTATTGACTGAGGTTGAGACTGCTGAGCAAAGTATCAAATTAGGGACGACTTAATCTAGCCTTTGGCCACCCCAGTACCAGCTTCTCCCTCTGGCTCGCATACAGTGCTGAGCAGCTTGAATCATCGATAAGCGGAACCTAAATAAAAATAATAAGTACTGTTAAAAATAATTGTGTTAAGCAATATCTGACCTTTCCTTGCAATGCAGCACGACGTCTTTTCGTGCATATTTGGTTTAGTAAAACATAAACAGCAATGCCAACTGTTACAGGTATCCCAACATACTTCAGATACCAATTAGTACAGCTAAAAATGGAGATGAATGGTTTCATGTTGTTTAACCTGTAAACAAACTATTATTCTGATTTTTGTTTAATTACACACATCCATCATGAATAAAAAAATACCCTTCTGTCTACAAAATTAAATAATAATACCGCATTTATATTTCTCTATGTGTTGTATAGTGGCATGTCAAAGTGGTATCGGTATTACATACATTTAGTTTGGTGAGATTAATATTTGGGTGTCCCGATGTGTTGGGATGGCTACTGATGTGATGCATCAGAAGAGATTCCGATCGCATCAGAGACGTGGAGGTGAGTAGAATGGGGTAGCAGCCATCTCCGACAACACATCTAGGGTTACCGTTTAGGAATTTAAAAAGTCCTGACGTTTCGATATAAGTCAAGACTTTAAAGATCTTTCATTCTATTTTATAAAAATGAAAGATAAAGACATATTTTATATTACTTATTATTATTATGTAGTTTTAATACTGATATTACTTAATACAGTCAAAACTGGATATAACAACAGGTTGGTTATTCCAACCAATTGGCAAGGTCTCTGCCAAAACCCTATACAAGCCCTTAAGTAAACAAACTGCCCATAAGAAATATTGCTTAAAACCACTTAAAGCTGATTATTAGAGTCCATATCAATATTCATCTCATCAGCTATAACAATCAACCATTTCACTTGTCACAGCAAACCGAAACATACAGTAGATAGCCTAGGTACTTACTTAATTATTTTCATAATACACTTTTTTTACTTCTTTTTCAATATTTAATTTGAAAACCAGTTCATGTGCATTTACCTTACCTTTACCCATACTACATACATACATATGAATAACTTTCACATAGTTAATTCTGGTTGTCATTTTATGTAATAAAATTGTGGGATATATAAGCAACCAAACAAAACCAAGAAAAGTTTTGGTTACAAAAAGTAAAAAAAAAACTATTCACACACTGAACTTAACCATTTATTTCAAAAATATATTATTTAAGTTTTTAATTGGTCTATTTGCAACTCTGGAAGGAACTCCAGATTCTTTTCTGACTTAGGACAATAATTCACGATTATAGAAAGTCTTTAATAACAAAACTTTTCTAACAAACGCTGAATAACAGAAAGTAATATTAAAAATTTTAAAAAAACTTACATTGTTTTTTAGGATTTCAGAGGACAGAGGTGAGTAAGCAATAAAAAATAAAATGAGCATGTGCTTTAAATGCCTTTTTCTACGATTTGTGATGTAATACATTGCATAACTTATTATTTACATTTTTACAAGTACCTAGGTACAAAGTTTATCCAGATATTTTTTTGTCAATAACTTTATAGTTAAAAATTAATTAGTATTGCGCATTCAGTGAAATTTAATTTACCTTGCTTTTTACTTTCTTCAAACAACACGAAGATAGAATAGAAGCAAACCGATTTACGATAAAACAATTAAAAAGGCGAAAACCGAAAACAAAGTATTTGTTTTTTTTTACTTTTTTTTTATTGTTGAAGTTCTCCCGTTTGGGAAGGCAAAGGGAACAATGCCCATACAACCTGGTCTTTAATTAAATTAATCTTCTTTCTGAGCATTATGCTCTGTAATTGGAAAGCATACTGGGGTTGCTTTCCAATTACAGCATTATTGCGCATTATGCGGCATAATGCTTAACGTTCAGTGTTCCAACTACAGCAACGCTTCGCACAATTGAGCACTCTCAAAAGTGATGCTTTCGTGTGATGCGCGCAATGGTATCAACTTAGAGACAGAAAATTAACAAGTGTTTTTTCTTTAAGTTGGCATTGATCGAAATGTTTTATTTATATGTTATCGTTAGTAATATTATTTATTGTTGAAAAATTATTAAAGCTTTCGTTTCATTAAATAGTTTTTTTTAAATAATCAAAGTTCATTCAAACTGTTAAAAAATAAATATAAGTATGGATGAAGGTACAAACATTGACTTTTTTTTTCAACACTGAACTTAGCGCACTCTGCTGGTGCATTTGAAAACCAATTCACGTTCCACGTTGGAACTTGTCGTTGGAAATGCACCAGCAGAGTAATCCTTACGAGCAATATGGAAGACCAAATAGTCCAAAGAATTATGAGATTTGAAACATCGAAAGAAGTGTGGGACGAACTTAAAAGACTATTTGATGGAGATGGAGAAGATCTGGTCTATGAAAGTTGTCTGAAATTCTTTGAGTATAAGAAAGAACCTGAAGACAATATGAGCATGCATTTATCGAAGCTAAAACATATTTGGTTCAAGCTGAACAAAGTAATTATAAAGCAAGAAAGGAACCAGGAATTGCCAGAAATAGTACTTATTTGCAAGATCCTAGACACTTTGCCTGATGAATACATGAATTTTAAATCCAGTTGGCTTCTCATGGCTAAAAAGGAAAGGACTATAGAAAGACTCACGTCACAACTCTGTGCATTTGAACGAAATATTCTATCACAACCCTCAACGTCGTCGTCAAACGAGAGTAACCAAGCTCTAGCAGTAAATGCTCCTTTTGAGAAAAGAAAGAATAAGAATATAAAGTGCAAATACTGTGGACAACGAGGCCACAAAGTAAGAAGCGCTAAGTGGATGAGTGATGGAAAACCACCAAAGCCACAACAAAACGCAAAGAATGTGAATGTTACAGATCTAATGATGGCTGAATACGGCGAGTGCTTATACAATGACAAAGATAGCTGGTATCTGGACAGTGGAGCAACAAGTCATGTCACATTCAGAAGGGATTTGTTCCATACATTTGAAAGCTTTAGATCGCAGCATACTGTAACAACGGCGAGTGGTGAAAAGGTTAATGCCACTGGCAAAGGTGACATACGGCTGGAAGCCGCAGTTGGTAGTAATAAAGGTATGATCACCCTATGCGATGTATGGTGTGTACCGTCACTACAGAAAAATCTGTTCTCGTTATTAGCAGCGGAAGACAGATTATCACAAAGCTTATTTGAATCTGAACCTGAATTCTGTAAATCGAAAACAAAAGGCGTAATCAAAGTCACAGGTGAACGGAAGAAAAGAGGAGGTCTATTCAAACTTAATGTCAAGAATGTAATGCCACCTTTACCATTTGAAGTTAATACCTTGACAAGTCATGATTCATTGCAGATATTTCATGAAAGCACATCAAAGCAAGTCTCATGTTAAAAAGGTTGTAGAAAGAGAACTTGGTATAAAGGTTCCTAACAGCTCGTCTGAATTTTGTGAAGATTGCAGTTTCGGAAAAATGACCAGGCAAACTTTTGGAACTCGTGATAGAGCAAAGTTACCAGGTGAAATTATGAACTCTGACGTGTGTGGACCCTTTCCATACTCATACAAAGGCTATCGTTATTTTGTTCTTTTCAAAGATGATTTCAGCAAATACCGATATGTTTACTTCATGAAACACAAATCTGAAGTCCACTCAAAGCTTCAATTAATGTTAAACGAAAGTAAGGTAGCTGGTCATATAATAAAAGAACTCTTAAGCGACAATGGCGGAGAGTACGATAATGCAAAAACCCAATCAATACTGCAGAAATATGGCATCAAGCAAAGGTTGATCATACCATATACACCACAGCAAAATGGGTGCAGCGAGAGGGAGAATCGGACACTTGTTGAAGCCGCTCGAGCAATGATGTATGCACATGGAGAGTTGCCAGTTGCATGCTGGGCAGAGCTAATAAATACTGCCGCATATGTGCTTAACAGGACCGGTCGTACTCCATTAGACGGAAAATCACCATATGAACTATGGTTCAACAAAAAGCCACAGATTAAACATTTACGTATAATTGGAAGCACTTGTTACGCTCATGTACCCAAACAAAAGCGAAACAAAATGGACAAGAAATCGGAGAAATGTTTATTAATCGGGTATGATGGTGATGATGGATACCGTCTTCTAAGCATCGGCAACAACAACAAACATAGGCTAATACGTTCCAGAGATGTCATATTTCAGGAGTCATCAGCTATTACCAACAATGATACTTTTGGAGAAAAGCCTGGAACTGAAGTAGAGATAAATTTACGTAGAATACCAAATCTTGTTGCAAGGGAGGAAGTAACTCAGCCGATTCATGATGTAAGGGAGGCAGAATACGAAAGTACTGGTACGTTTCAAGATCGTTTACCCCCTGAATCGTCTGATGATGCGCCTGAGATAGAGAACAGTATAAAAGTTCCATCACCTTCGCAAATTCAAAATGAAGAAGATAACGTAAGTGATCAGACATTACCTGAACGTTTGGAAGAAAATGATGAAGATGAGAATTTGCAAGATAGTGAAATCGAAGATCAAGGAAGAATGACTCTTAGAGATAGATCCTCACTGCGACCACCTGCTAAACTAGGAGACTACGTCATGACTTCAGTGGGTGATATGTCTGACTTTCGTGAACCAACTGCCTATAGTGAAGTCCTAACGAGTCTAGATAAAGAAGAATGGATAAAAGCAATGAAAAGTGAGATTAAATCTTTAGAAGAGAATAAAACCTGGACTCTCGTCGATCTACCCAAGGGTCGTAAGCCTATTTCATGCAAATGGATCTTTAAATTAAAAACCAATGCTGATGGTACGGTCGATAAATATAAAGCGAGGCTTGTAGCCCGAGGTTTTTCGCAAACACCAGGGGTCGACTATGACGAAACGTTTAGCCCAGTGGCAAAAATGACAACCATCAGATCTGTCATAAGTGTTGCGGCAAACGAAGGACTAACGCTCACGCAATTCGATGTTTCTACTGCCTTTCTCAATGGCTTTCTTAAAGAAGAAATATATATGAAGCAGCCCGAAGGCATGAGTGACGGGACTAAACGAGTCTGTAAATTAAAGCGAAGCCTGTATGGACTCAAGCAAGCACCAAGATGCTGGAACAAGTGCATTGTAGACTACTTGAAGAGCATAGGCTTTCAACAAAGTCAAACAGATCCATGTCTGTTCATAAAGAAACGTGCACAGTCCAAAATAATACTAGCGCTTTATGTTGATGACGGATTGGTGGCCACCACGCACCAAAAGGATGCGGATATGTTCATAGCTGATCTCAAAAGAAGGTTTAAGATAACCACAAAGCCTGCAGAATATTATCTGGGTTTACAACTGCACCAAAATGAAGATGGCTCAATTCGCATAAATCAGAAACACTACATAGAAAAGGTTTGAGAGCGTTTTGGTATGAGCAGCTGTAAAACGGTAACTACGCCAATAATCAAAGATTCTGAGCAAGGGCAAATGAACAGAGAAGTTACAGACGAGAAATCATTTCCGTATAGGCAAACCGTTGGGGCTCTTGCATACCTAATGGTTGGAACGCGTCCAGATATTGCGTATGCCGTTGGTGTTGTTTCTAGAACACTAGAAAACCCATCTCAAGAGGATATTCTTAAGGTGAAGCGTATAATGCGCTACCTTCAAGGAACTCTAGGCTACGGAATAACATTTAAGAAGAACTACCAAAGAGGAATTCTGGATTCATACAGTGACTCTGACCATGCAGGCGATGTCAAAGATGGTCGGTCAACCAGTGGCATCCTTTGTTTATATGCTGGAGGAGCAATCTCCTGGGCTAGTAGAAAACAGTCGTTAGTGGCAATCTCTACGATTGAAGCCGAAATTGTCGCAGCAAGCGAAGCAGCACGCGAGATAGTATGGCTACAAAGGCTGTTTAATGAGATCACCGACCTAAAGGAGACAACAACTCTAAAAATTGATAATGACGCTGCTGTAAAATTGGCTCAAAATCCGGAACTGCACCGGAGGACGAAACACATTGCTGTGAGACACTTTTATGTACGAGAACTAGTTGCAGAAGGAACAATACAGGTCAGGCACGTAGGGGCAAACCTTCAAAGTGCAGACATACTGACAAAGCCCCTCAGCAGACCGTCCATTATATCGATATTGGACCGAATTGGTTCGAGTTGTTTATAGTTTATCCTTTTTTCATAGACTTAGCAAAAAGGGAGGATGTTGCGGTTGGTGTATCCATGGTTTTGTGTCATATATGAAAAAGGAAGAAGCTTGACATATAGAATAAAATAAAAGACTAGATGACTGATAATTGAATATTAGTTTTATTATAATGTAGATTTCTTTTACGTTAATATTCTGTGGCTTAGGACTAGCAGAAAAGTTATCTTTACGGTTAAGAGTAAAACTTTAGCGGCGCATTTAAAAATCGGCTTATATACAATGATTTCTTTTTACATATTTTTTTTTGTTTTTCTGTTTGTTTTTATTATTTTTCAAACCATTTACAAAATCAAACCTAATTACTTCAGGTAGCGTTCAAAAAATGTCAGTTGCTCGACTTTTGATGTTTTTAGACGACATCTTTTTCAGTACTAAATAATCCCGCCTTAGAGAAGAAGAATAGATTTCCGTAAACAGCAAACCGAAATCGGACTTCCGAGCACGAAATCGGACTTCCGAAAACGAAAGCACGAATTTCGAATCCGATTTACATTTGGATACTTGTGGTGGTATTAGATCGCTAGCTTTCTAGCGTTTTGGTTCGGTTAGATTTCTGAAATCGGATTATTATGTTGAGAAAGTATCGATTTGTGTTTGAAATCGGGTTTTGGATTCGTTTTGATATATCGGACGCATGCCTACTGTAAATGTTTGGCCTTTGGACATACAACTAAGTATTGTAAAAGAAATGTTGTATGTTCAATTTGTGCTCAATCTCATCATTATACAGAATGTACTGTTGACAAACCCAAGACAAACCTTCTTGCATCAACTGGAAAGGTGAGCATATTGCTGTATCCAATTCATGTCCTATTAAACAAGCCAAAATTAATGAAAATAAGTCAAAAATATTTAATAGACAGACTCTTGGTGCATATTTCCCATCTTTACCAACAAGTTACGCTACAACAACAAGCTCACCTATGCCAGCCAAAATTAAAAAGATTAATAAAAGTGATAAGGACATTATATCCGAAATTTTAAATAATGAAAAAATCCTTAAAGCCATGATAGAGACACTGTT